CTGTCTCGTAATGAGAAGGAATAAGCATAAAATCGAAGGCACCTCTGTCTTTTGGAAATATTACTTTCTTAATTAATACATATAATCTCATTTATTTTATGAATTTCGGTGTTCCAAGTATTCATAAAGAAAAAAACCTTTTTTTCGCAATACCATCAGCTTGTAAAATATTGAAAGTTTTCTATGAAAAAGTTCAGTAAATATAGTAGCCTTTGTAATATTTTGAGAAAGGAGAATATTGTTACTACCACCAACAATGTTAAAGTTTTGACTTTCAATTTGTGTATATTTCTAGACACTGTGAGTTTGAGCTTTATTTTATCAAAATTTTCTCTGAAAAATCGAAATAGATAACGGAACGAGGGTCATTGCAATTAATGAATTCGTGTAGTTAATGACCATCATGATCTGTAGGTATTGCCTCCCAATATTTAAAATCTGTACCGAGAAATTCTCTTGATCTCACTACAGTATAATCACGAATTTAAGCAAATATTCAGCCATGCTTTAGCAATGGGCCCTGTAGTATAAGGCCTCATTATCCTCTGAATTTTGGCCAAAATTCTGTTCTGACTCTAGCTCGATGTTCTCGGATATAAAAGCATCTTTACATCGCCCCCCCAAGTTTTCATCAGGAATGGAGATTTCGGTTGGAAAATCATTCGATGGTACTGTACTCATAATAATTAAGGATATTTTGACTTTATATTGTTCTGAGAAAAAGGTCTAATTTGAATTATTAATTAATTAATTTTATCTAATGTAGCATTACTAATAAATTTCAAAATATAATTAATAATGACGGGTATTTATCTTTGTCAACATTTTTTCAATGAGGGAAAGGGCAGTGGTCGACCTTGCTATCAACAAGAAGGATGAGCTATTCATTGGAAAAGACGTCAACGTATTTTTATTTAGAATGCAGTAAGTTAACTACTTTCGAGTATAGTTTATGTAATTTGCAATCAGATAAGTGCCATGTTAAAGCTTACTATTATTGGAAGAAGCTGGAGAAGATGGCGCAAAGTGGATCATGCTACTTCTAGAAGTTTTCCATAGACAGATTTATCTTGTACTGATTCCTGGACGGAAAAATAATAACCAGATAATGTTTTTGAGTCGAAAAAAAAAGGTCTTAGACTAGCCATCCAGGTTGTCCAGGTAAAATTTCGATTGTTTTGCTCTTATTCTGTATTTATCAACATAATGTTTATATTATGTATTTTATATTTTTACCTAGACGACTTAAACGGAAATATAACAAGTATAGAAAAACAAATTAAACATAAAATAAACCCATCCCTCTATAACATATCTGTCCAGGTTGACACAATTACTTTGATGCAACCTAGACAACCTTTTTATCAGGATGCGAGTAATCTATTATAACCGCATTCCAGAATAAAGAACATGAAGTATAGCTTATAGTCACTATGTAATCAAACATATACGATATACTGTACTTCGATATAACGTATCTTTTACCATAGATAAAATCCATATCGATTACAATTAGCATATGTTATGCTTACATAACTCAAGCCGATATGTGAAGTGTATATCTGTGATTTTTTTGGCCTTTTCAAGTAACGAAACAAATGAAAATCGATGAAAATAATATACTGTGTATCTTATTTAAATATATTATAATAGATAAAGAACATACATAGGAAAATATATTCCTTGAAAAATTTCTGTTGGTGTTGCTATAACTCCAAAACTGAAATTTCAAAAATTATTGACAGGCTTGCATAATTTACCTTAATTACAAGACCAATGAGATTATTATCGGAAGAAATAATGAAGTTGACATTATCGGAAGTTCAAGAGAATAGGAAGGATGTTTTTCGGAAAATAACAGCCAATAAAGGAAATTGACATTTAGAAAATACTTCTGTCAAAGCCATTGCAACAAGGACGATTGCATAAGCTACACGAGGTTCCGTCCGTGCAATAACAACAAAAATAGTCTGTTCCCTTATCTGTTTAAAAATACAAAGATTCAGTACAAATCAAGAATTAAATTTAAGATGAATTACTTACACTGTTTGCCTGTAGGTTTATTCCATCCACCAAAAGGCACGAAGTTTTTTGTCAAATCAATAATACCATCATAGTAAGCCCACCATAGTGGAAGACTAGAATCCAAAACCCAATTTGGATCGCCAGTAATTTTTCCCCATTCATTCTTATTCTGGATGTACAATGACGTTTAGTGACATACTGTATAATACCGTAATTCTCTATGTAATGAAGGAATGTGAATATTACATACCGTATAGATACCCCAATTCCATTTAGTACTTTTCCATGCATCTCTGAATTGTTGTAAAATTTGTCGATTTGTATCAGGGTTCGGCCAGCTACCAGGACTGTAACCTGATTCAACATCAAGCCAAACTGTTCGAACTATAATATTTTCGTTTCCATTTATTTTAGTGTTGTTAATCAATCGTACCAATTCATTAACTTGATTTTGAGGAGATTTGCAGGTGAACTTTATATTTAGGCATTGCTGAGTTGGTGGTGTGCCACAACAAGATCTCTTTGGATCACTCGGATACATATTTGGACCAGTCCCAGTACATGGAAACATATACACATCAATGTATGTAAAACCTGCGTTAACAGCGTTTGTATAGCTAGGAACAAAAGTATTGTCTATAGCACCTCCAGGCGCTCCACAATAGGCCTCAAAGTAACCACGAATTATAACACGCCCGTAACCAAAATTTTTAACACATTTATAAGAATCGAGTGAGACTATTGTCTGGGCAGAATCAACAGCGGTAACGGCAAAAACCGTTGAAATAGTCATGAGAAAGGTGACTAATATTGCAAGAAAGGACGCCATTTTTAATATTCCTTAGTTGTGAAAGTGTGTATTTATAGTTGAGTCAAGCCCATTGTAATGTGTTCGTACATGGGTAATTATTTTTGAGGGAACAAAAACAGTATGCAGGCGCGCTCGGTTCACAGATAATGAATGAACCAGCCTAACTATTTTTGTATTTCATTTATAATGATAACAAATATTGATTGAATATAGGTTTCTAAAGTTATTATAGAAGATGAGAGTCATAACCCAAATCAGGTATTTACGATAAAAATTGATCAGGGACGTCAAGTCGACATAAAATCATATGAGTGAATAAAACATTGTTGTATCGAATTTAGCTTTCTTAGGGCATACAGTCATTTCTACAATCAAATGATGACGTGAATGGAAATAAGTAGTCACTCAAGCAACGACAGATTACATACTGGTCTTGGTCTAGACTAAGTAGAAATGGTATAGAGTATCTATATTATTTCCACTTATAGTAAAATTTAGTTGGTATTAAACTTAATATGAGATATATATATATATTTGTAAATACAGTACAATAAAAACCTCGAGTATATAGGTTAATAATCTAACAAAAATACTTTATAAGTCATTAGAAAATAGGTTTAGGATTTAAATATATCTGATTATAAAATATTACTATTTCTATATATCGGTTAATTAATTTTCAATACATATTATGTTTAAGTCGCTTAATATTTTAGATAAAGTTAAAATGTACAAAGAGAAAATTTTTGACTTTTTAATAACTCTAAGATTGAAAAAAGGAGACAATAATAAAAACATTATATTAAAAAAATCATCTGATTTAATTATCATTAAAAATATTACTTGTTAAACACAATTAACAAATTTCAATAGTACATAGTAATTAGTATCTGGTTTTGCAAAAATTGAATTAAAAAACTTGTTGAATATTTTGAATTAATTATTTAAAACAATATTTTATGGATTTTTTACAATAATGTAATTAAAATCTAAATACTATATTAGATAATTTAAAGCTGGTAATAAAATTTTTAGTCTTTATAAAGTTTATCTGATATATGTGCATGCTTACATATTGTTAATCTACATAATTGATAATATAAAAATATACTGTATGGAACAAAATAAGAACATTTTTTGTTTTTATTATTATTTAATAAATATTTTTTTAAACTAAGTAAACATTTAAATATAAATTATTTTAGACTAATAAAATAATTTTTATTCAAAATTTTTATTCCTTAATTTATATTTAAAAATTTCTATTGTATTTTTTATGTTCAAATTCTATAAAAAAAGTAATTTTAATATAATGAACTAGAAAAATTATAAAAAATATTATAAAGTAATAAAAATATGTATATTAAAATATTTTATTTTTTAGCTTTTCAGCTATCACTAGTTGAAATCTGATTATTCAGCAGTATGCCACTTGTCAATCATTCAATATACAATAAATAATTCATAAAGCATTTGTCAAATATTCTTCAACAATTTGGTAATCATTGCCAAATTGGAATATGCCAAATTATTGATAAGTGTTTAATGAATGCTTGACAAATTATTTATTGTATGCTGAATAATTGACAAGTGACATACTGCCAAATAATCAAATTTCAACTAGTATATACTTTGTACTTATCATATATATTGAGATTAAATATACTGTACAGTTCTGTTTTTTTGTTTAAATTTGAAGATTTATATCCCAATATGGCAAATAAAAAACAAACCAAAAAAAATCTTACAATGTAGATACTAATTTTGAATAAAAAAAGCTGACATTTATAAATATAAAATTAGCAATAATAAAAAATTTATCATTCAACAAATTTTTATTAAATAATAGGTCAATAAGACAAAAATTTATTAGAAAAATTAAAATTGATTTATTGATTTATTTTTTATATTTTTAGATCAATTTTTCCTTGTTTTTTATTAGTATGGTACCTGTATAAACCTTTTATTTAATTTTTTATTCTTTGATTAAACCCTAAGAAAATTATATATGTTAATATTTTAATTGCAAAATTGAAATAATAATAATACTTAAATACAATTAATAATAATTTCAGCTTATATAAAACATTATCTTTAACAAATAAATAGATCAAATTTAATTGGATTCGAGTTTAACCTAGTACTGCAATAAGTCAGATTAATTTTAGACTCACAGATTATATAATAACACTTGTTGAAATCTGATTATTCAACAGTATGCCACTTGTCAACTATTTGACATACAATAAATAATTCGTCAAGCATTCATCAATAATTTGTCAATAATTTAGCATATTCAATTTAGCAATAATTGTCAAATTATTGACAAATACTTGATGAATTATTTATCGTATATCAAATAATTGATGAGTGACATACTGCCAAATAATCAGATTTTAACTAGTGTAAGTTTTATTAAAAATATTTTAAATATTCAAACTATAGTAATATATTTAGACTAAATAATTATCACTATAGTACTTTACCTTTTGAGTTATAAAATTTGATCCTATACTAACTCTATATTATTTGAATTTATATAGATTATTCTTCAAAAAATGTTTGATAAACATAATCTATATATTTTTTATTTAAAGATGTGATTTTCCTTGTCAAATAATTAATTACTAAGAAAATTGATTTATTACTTTATTATAAGTCAGAGTTAATAACATAATTATAATACAATCTTTGACTTTGTAGTACTTTTGAGTGCAAATTCAAATAAGTTTACAAGAAAAAAAATTTTGACAAGTTTGTGGATTTGAGGCAAGATAAATTAGGCAGTATGAAATTTTATCTATTCTTTTTTATTTTACTAATATTAATATATAGATAAAATAAATAATGAAAATAATAAAAATAATAAGTTGGATAATTGATTATCTTTTTAAATATGTAATCATTGTAATACTATTGTATTGTTATCAATAATACAGAGTATGGCATTTTAGAAGTAAAAGTAAGTATTATAAGGCTAAGTAAGAAGAAAAGAGTACAAATTTGATAAGTTAATAAGATTTAATATTATAATACGAAAAAGATTATTTTTCTGTTTATTATTTTCTTTTAAGTTCTATATCTTGCTTTGGACAAAAATAAATTTAAAAGTTTAATTAAAGAAATAAATATATAGTATGGTACAAAAATTTTAAAATATTATTTATATAATATAAATGTATATAACTTTTTCAAAACAAAAATAATTTATATGAAATTTTAAATATATAAATAACATAATTCAAACAATATACAGTATATAGGTACTTAAAATTATCTGTTATTTTATTTTTGTTACAAATTTATTCTTACAACTTAATCTTCTAAAAAAAATACTTAATGACAAATTATATTATACTGTGAAATAATATAATTACTTCTATATATGAAATATATTCCAAAACTAGCATAAACATGACAATTATTTATTATAATCTCAAAAAATTATATTCAAAAGATAACAATTTCAAAAAATCTGATAGTAATTATCCTAAAAAGATTATAATACATAAATCAAAAACAATTGTTCAATATTTATGTCATAATTCAAGACTTTTCTTAAGAACTTGGACAATTAAATTATCAAATATTAATATCAAAGTATTAAACAAAAAATTAATAAATTACTTGAAAACAATTGGTGCTTTCAACAAGATAATGATTCCAAACATACAAGTAAAATTGCCAAAGCATTTTTAAATGAAATTTTTTTTAAATTATTAATTGACCTAATAGTCCAGATTTAAATTCCATTAAAAACTTTTAGGTTATCACTAAAAGAAATAGTGAAATAAAATTACCAAAAAATATTTTAGAATTAGAACAATTTATGATAAAAAATATAATAAAATTCCAAATAGATTTTAAATAATTTTATAAATTCAATAAATGAGATATATGAATTAATAATTGAAAATAATGATGAAAGAATTAATTATTAATTATATATTAATAAAATCTTTAAATTTTTAACTTTATTTTGATATATTTTTTATTAATTTCTATGCAGTAATTTTTGAGTAATAAATAAATAAATAATTTCAAAATTTTTTGTATCATACTGTATATAGTATATAATATATATTTAATAATTGAAAAAAATTAAATTCTAGTTTTAAAAAAAGAATGCTTCAGATTCTAACAGTTTCCATTTTCTAGTCTTAAAATTTTTCATAAATGAAATAGGAAAGGAAATAATCAGTTAACTTGTTAATACTTTTTATTGATAGCATCAAATGAAATCATACTGTGAAAAGTATGCATTCACTGTAGAATCTAACTTCTATATTTTTCAAACCAATATTTTGCTTTCTTCTTATTCTTAATGGTGATAACAAAGTCCAAGATTTTTTTTTGTCCTTTGATATTTCTACCCTTAGCAGATTTCAGATGCAAATGAAATGCTTTCTCGTAGTATTGAGTGGTCCCAATCCCATTCTTGTAGCAACACCCAAGATTACATTGTCCCTGACGATTTCCACCTCAGAAGATTTCGGGTGATTTCAGGTACAGCTGAAATGCCTTATCATAGTTTTAAGTGGTTCCTATTCCTCTCACAACAAGATCCAAGATGACGTTGTCTCGGACGATCACCACCTTCAACACTTTCTCGTGTTCTTCAGCGGTTCCAATTCCAGGAGTTTTAAGAACTCTAAGAATCAATGCATTTTGGAGGTTTCCTGATAATCTATTAATAAATTAAAAATCCGTTCTGAAGTCTTCTATAAACAAATAGTTAATCCCAAATCATCAAGCCCTTTGTTTTTTTTTTTTTGAACGACAATAAGTTGATATACTGTAATTCCTCTAATTTATAGAGTTCAAATTCTTTAACAATATTGCTAGCTATTGTGAAATTTTTATTACTAATAATATTTTCACTTTCATGAACTTCTTAGACAGCGCCAAGTCGACAAGCCTTATATTACAATTACGTATAAGAATATTCCAGAATGCTAAAAATAAAAAGATATATTAATTTAAAGTATACTTATTATGCAAATATTAACTTTAAATTTAATTACTAAATCCCTACGAGTGTCTTTTTTGTGCAATACTTAATCACTTTTGTAAGCTGTTTATTCATTTATAATTTATCATTCCAGTTTAACAATTTGAAATTCTCTTTAAGGTGTTTCCACAAAGTTCCGTCAATATATTCAATAATCATAAGATACGTATTCTGGTTTTTGCTGATCTGTATAATTTTCTATATCGGTCATAACTTCTTGTATAAACATACGCGTTTAAAATAATCACGCTCACATTACCTTTCTTAGAAATCTTAATGCAACATAAGCTACGCAGAATATTTTACATTAAATATTATTTATTATGTACTATAGTTACAACTACATATAAACGTATAATGTTCAAATACTGTACCTCATTAAGAAATATATTTGCTGAAGTTTCGTCAAAAATTATAACTTTTTAATCGCGACTAATTTTTTGAAGAAGCCATATATAATATTCCAAGAAATCGCTATAATTAAATTTCCTCAAGGTCAATTCATCCATAAAGCTTTGAATCCTTCGATTCAACTATTTTTCGATTGTAAATTTTTTGATAAAGTTTTGGTTTCCAAATACGCATCCCGTATGACCTAAAATATCTATGGTCTGCAGTTTGTTGCACAACAGCAATTTTAGTTAATCTTTTTAAAAGAGTGCTATAATTTGCATGACCTAAAATATTTATTATAGTGATGGGAAAAATAATATACAGTATTTTCTCGTAGTCAAAAGTACTTTACAAATTAATTTGGAGCTTACTATCATATTTGATAATTACCTCCAAAATTTTTTTGACATGAAATCAGAACAAAGGACAAAGACAAATTAATTGATGTTGACTTATACTGTAAACGGTTGATAACGAAAAATTGTTTTTTCTCGAACAGAATGTTGTGACGCGAAATTATTGATCAGGATCATTATGCATAGCTACGAAATAACGTTAAATTGACTATCGAGTGAGGTAATTAATACTCTATTTTTAAGTTTTAAAAAAGTATATTTGCGTTCTAAAGAAATTCTATACGTCAATTGTAGTTAATCATTATAACATAGTTTTACGAAGAGAAATTTTAAATAGACTAAAAAAAAGACAACCACACATACATTCATACGGGATTTTGTGAAAAAGAGTCTATTTTATTGGCCAAAAAGAGCTATTAAAACTCTTTTGTTCCTGCACCATCGAGAAAAAAATGAATCCCCCCGAACGTCAGTGGTTTTCTTCTCTTTCGAAACTTGCATTATAGTCACGTGCAATAATGCTTTCCATATATGTCACTCTTTTTTTCATCGCATTTTTATTTAAAACGGTGGCGGTGGTTGAATCCATACCCATTCATCAATCGGGCGAGAAACAACGTTATATCGTGGTTCTTAAAAATGCACCAATCACAGACTCGCCCACACTATCTGCTGAATCTTTGCAGCCGCCGTCGATGGATTCCGTATATAAAACCCATATATCTTGGATCTCCGAAGTACACAGTTCGTCGAGTGTATCATCCGCAGCCGACCCTAATGTTACGCTCGATGTAATAGAACGAGAATATGCAATTGGAGATAATTTCAGGGCTTACGCCGGATTGTTCGATCCAAAATTTGCTGAGCTCGAGCTACCAAAACGTTCTGAAGTCGATCATGTATCCCTAGATTCCGAGGTTTCGGTTAAGAATGTTGCTTATGAAAATTTTGATATTGAAAAGTATTTGGAAAAAGATAATAAAGAGGATGAGGAAGTTAATGCTTTGAAATTTGGAAAGAGAACCCAACACAATCCGACGTGGGCAAGTCATTGTTCGTTCGTTTTTTTACTGCGTATTCTTCTTTAGATGTTATTAAATATACATCACATATTATAGAATCTCGATCGCATAGATCAAAGGAAATTACCTTTAGACGGGAAATATGCTTCGCCCGTATCTGGAGGTCGTAGAGTGAACATTTTTGTTGTAGACACGTAAGATGGTTTTTTTTTTTATCAATTGATCTCCATATCATGATTTTGAGATTAAAAATGAGATATTTTTCAGTGGAATAAATATAAACCACACAGACTTTCAAGGGCGAGCGTCGTGGGGCACAACGACCATCAAGGGTTCATCAAATATTGATGAATATGGGTTAGTTCAATAGATTTGTTATCATTATTTTACGACATTAAACATTACACTTATCCTTTACTGATTTTCATAGACATGGCACTCATGTGGCGGGGATTGTAAGTTATAATAATTTTTTGTAAAGAACATTCACTGAATTGTAAACCATTGATTTTTATTTTCCCTTCGTTCGTGTGACAGATTGCAGGTAACTTTACATAATCGCGACTTTAAAATGAAGCGGCTATAACGCCCTTGGAATAATTATTAGGGAGGAAATATGGGGTTGCCAAGGCGTCAAGAGTTATTGCGGTCAAAGCTTTGGGAAAGACTGGATCGGGCTCTTGGAGCGACGTCATTGCTGGCTTAAGTTGGGTTGGTGAGCAACATAAAATTGGCACAAGAAAGAGCTCTATCGTCAAGTAAATTAAAATGCTTTATACTATTCCAAATTTATCTCGTCTTTCTGCAAAGATTAATATCGTCATTTCTCTAATTCTAGCCTCTCGTTAACCGGCAAATATTTTCCGCCGGCAAATGCAGCTGTAAAGGCATTAACGGAGATTGGTGTTCATGTTATAGTAGCTGCAGGGAATTATTTTGGTGCCAATTCGTGTTTTTTCTCTCCGGCATCTGCACCCGAAGCTATCACCGTTGGAGCGACCAACATTAACGATACGATTGCTAAGTTTTCCAATGTAGGTCCATGTGTTGATTTATTCGCCCCAGGTAAAAACTACCCGTAACTATTTATAATTCTTTTCTCACGCCACGTTAACCACCCACTGTTTCTGGTTAAAGGACAGAACGTAACATCAACGTGGTTAGATAACAATGTCAAAATGATGTCAGGCACAAGTATGGCGTCACCACACGTAGCTGGGGTGATAGCTTTGATGATAAGCTCACGGGAAAACAAGTCACCCGCACAAATGAAGACGACGATTAGGGACATGTCCACCCTGGGTATGTTGAAATTTGATGAAAATCCAAGTTTGAAAGCTCACAATTCCTTACTGTACTTGGGTAGTCCATCATATTTATAAGTCGATTAAGATACATATTTAGATGATCTCTATAAATTAAACATACAAACTTTTTTTGTTGATCTAATATATATACTGTATGTCAGCATAAATAAATAAAGATATAATATTTATATTTTAATTTTTTTTAGAGATTAAGTTTATTAAATTTCATATTTTTAAGTCTTTAAAATACCTTCTAAAATATTGTTATTAAAGTCATCAAAGTTACTAAAATTTTTATTGGTTTCAACTTTGCTTTTTAATAGAATATATATATTATATTATATATAGTATATTAAATATATATCATTCGAGGTATGTATAACATATATAATACTATAAAAGTTTATTATTAAGATTTAGGTTTATTTAAATAATTGTGAAAGCACAATGACTTCTTTCTTTTTACAATAGTACTTAACTTGTATATTTGTCTATTATTCTTATATCTTCTTACTTATCTAATTATTTGTATAATAAATTACATAATTATATTATATATCTGATAAACTTTTCTTGTAATATTAATTACTTGAAATTATTTTGATATACATATATAAGTTTTAATATATGAATATTATTAATATAGTTTATAATAATATTTAATAGATATTTCTATATATAAACAATATTTTCTAAAATGTGTATTAATTTTTTATATTAACATTTTTTATTATATAAATTTAATATTATTAATATTATTTTTTTTTAACTTGTGATAATATATAAAAAAATTTTAAAAAATTCAAATGTAATTATTATTAATATTTTTCAAAAAACTAATATAATAATTTATAATAATTTATTCTTAAAATTTTTAAATAATCAAAATTATAGAAGATATTAATTTATATTATAATATTTTAATAAAAATTTCAAATTATATTAAAGTTTCTTATTATATAAAATTATATGACAAAAATATTATAAAATTGATAATTAATTTTAATAATAAAATATCTAAATTAACTTGTTACAATTGTATTAAAGAATTAAAAAAAATTATTTTTTAATTTCAAGAAAAATAATTAATTATTTAATAAAAGAATACTTTATAGTAAAAAAAATATGCTTATTTAATTGTAAAATATAAAATTTTATACAATTATAAATTGATTAATCAAAAATAATTAATATTATTTACTACATAATTTTTAAATATATATTACAAAAAATTTTATTATATAATGTTTTTATTTATTAAATATTTTTTTGAAAAAAAAAACTATAATAAGATTTAAGATTTATTTATTTTTTAAATTATAATATTATAAAACTATAAAAAATTCAAATTTACTTTAAAAAATAGAAGTAAAATATTGACAGTTGAAATATTATATAAATTTTTATTTAAAAAATTAAAGAAATAATATTATTATATAATTTATATAATAATTTTTAGAAATTTATTTATTTATTTTATATATTATAACAAAAAACCTCAAAGATTTTAATAATCTTTGCAAAATTTTTAAGGATTTTTATATATATAAAAATTATAAAAAATTTTTATAAAAAATTTTATTAATAATATATTAATTTACAAATTAATTAAAGACTTAAAGCTCTTAAATCAACTGTATTTTTAAAATATAAATTTTATGGACTTTAAATAAAAATAATATAAACTTATTAAAAATAAAATTTTTATATTAAATATAATATAAATAATTTTGTATTTAAATTAATAAATTTATAAATACAAAATATTATAATATAATAATATAGAAAATATTTTTTTTAAAAAAAACAAAATATTCAGATATAATAAAAAAAATGTATTTTGAATATAACAAATATTATTCTAAAACAATTAAATTGATTTATAATAAAAAACTTAATTTTTTAAATAATTTTTTTATTAACTTATTTGATATTAAATAATAAAATGAAATTAATAATTATAACTAGAAAATAATAACAAATTAATTATAAATATATGTAATAATTTAGGTTTCACTTTTTTATATATAGAAAAATCATATTATATATTATAACTTGTGATACTAATTAATTAAAAATAAATATTATATTGATTTTTATATTATATTTTGCTTTTATAATATAAAAACATTTTTCCTAGTTCATTTAATTTCTCTTAAATTAAATAATAAAAATTCCATTTAAATTTATATATTTATTAATGTTTAAATATAATTTTTTGTTTTTTTTTTTTTATAAATGTATATTAAATATAAGATATTTATTAAACTTTTATTTTTATATCATTATATTAATAATCTTTAAATACAAAATAAGTAGATTAATCCTAGTCTATTACAAATAAAGTTGACATACAGTATATGAATCTTTGAGAACCCAAGTAAAAAGAAAGAAAAAAAATATAAAAAATATTTAACTACTAGTTATATTGTAAACTATGTATATGTGCTTCATAAGTAATAATAATAGAGAGTGGTATAATACTTGGGTTTTAAATTGTGATCTGGACCTATGTAACTATAAAACCAAAGAGAATATGATTAAGGGTCAACAATTTTATCCATATTAGTAACCCAGATATCAATATGACATAATTAACTTATACCAATTTTTTGATAGAAATAAGCTATTCATGACTTTTTATTGCAAAAAAAATTGGAAGCTGAATAAGACAAGAATATAATTCTGTAATCATTTTTCTTGAATGGTATATGAAATAGTGATATTGTTAGATATTCATAATAAAGTTGCTTATAACTAACTGCATGCTTCTGACACACTGGTTAGCAGTCTAGGTTTTTAACAAAGTAAAACCTTATGTGATCAGTATTGCCAATCAAATTTACTTTTTTCACAATCTCTTCTTGTATTTGATTGACTTGACATATAGTTTTAAATATAATTTTTTAATATATTGAAAAAATCAATTATATTTATAAAAAGATTTTTTAATATTATATTAAATAAAAATATACTGATAATATTAGATATATAATAAATATTAATAAATTTAAATAAATTATATAAAAGAAATAAAACCTAAAGTAAAAGAATTAACAAATAAAAAAAAATGACAAAAAATTTAAAAATAATACTTATATTAAATATAAAATAATTATTGATAATAAGAAACATATTTTAAATAAAATCATTATTTTTAAAAATCAAAATTTATGTTTTATATTTATTTTTTTTATTTCAATTATTATAATATGTTATTGTTTTATTTTTATTATCTATAATATATATATATATATTTTAATGTTAAGTAAGACATTTCTCACGATCTTTATTAATAGAGTAATATAATAATTGTTACATGATTAATATTAAGATATAAGATACATTGCTATACATGTCAGCCTACCACCTGATTTAATATATTTCCGATAAAAAACCCTTGAGCAGGGAAAA